CAGATAAAAGTAACCTTGCCTCATTTTACGTGTCCGCAACATGTCCCAAGATTCTCAAGAATAGCTATGTAGGCTGAAATCGACCCATTTGGAGAGAGGCCAGATTGGGGGAGGCAGGCTTGGTTTTGATTCCCCGCCATCGTGTAACAAGTTCTTTCTTACCCATCTTATCTTAGAACCTAGAATCACAGAGCTGGAAGGGACATTAGAGGTCTTCCAATTTAATCTCTGCTCAAGGCAGTAATCCAAGTAATCCAAGTGAAGTAAGTATCTGAGATACCTTTTAGACAACACCAGCCTTTCTCCAACAGTCCTCCTCAGCTATGTTGGGCTTCTGAGCCCCACAACTTTTAACGTGGCCATCTATGGACATCAAGGCACAAATCTCTGGAGAGCACCAGGATGAGGTCAAGCTGCCTTGTGTGTCCACCACAATGGAAGGGAGACTTCCTGTGTTTCTTAAGCTTCCTTGTTCAGCCCACCGTGAGATGTTGCTGCTCCGAAGACAATGCAATTCCATCACGGTATTGGCAGCTGAGTGGAAAGTCCCTCAATTGACTTTCCAAGGACAAGCTGAAGTCATCCCCCAGGTCAGCTGTTTTAGGCCCATCTAAACTGGAAAATAGGAGGGAATTCTCTTCCTTCTGTCTCCTCTGCCTGGTTTCAGCTCTCATGGATTTTTTTGTTTTTTCATTTCCCTGCCGCACAGCCAAACACCAACTTTTGCTCACTTCAATGATCTGGTGCACCATCCCGGCTCTGATCCACAGTGAAAACTTTTATCCTCCTGCCTGAAGCCACTCTTGGTCTACTGCCTTTCCTCTCTCTCCCTCTCTCTCTCTCTCTCTCCCTCTCTCTCTCTCTCTCTCTTTTGGCTTTTGATGCCTGTCTTTGCACCTTCCGTGCCAGCGTGAGACTCTCTCGCTGCTAAGCCTCCCTTGGCTTATGGGCCCTTTGTTGAGAACTTAAGGCTGTTGAAAGGGAAGTCCCTCGGCCAGTTAGGCAGGCTGGTTTTGTCCCATTCTGCAAGCTTTGCAGGCGCCAATGTAAACACCGAGCGGCTGTCATTTGTGTGAAAGAAGCGGAAAAAAGCGCATTAGAAGGCGCGTGTTCACGCATGACCGAGGCGGGGAGCTTTGGGAGAAGTGCCTGTGTTAGCAGTCCTTCCATGGAGCCGGAAAACTCTTTTATGTGAGGATGAAGGGAGAAAGTGGAGCTTCCTCTCCTAATAGCTGATCAAAGCAGAGATCAAATCTCAGCCTAGTTGTCCTGGTGGGGGGGAAAGGAATGGACAAATCAAGGTTAGCCTTCAGGCTGCAATTAGAAGCTGGTCTAATGGGCTGCTTAGCTGCATGCATTTGAAAAAGAAGAAGAAGAACTTGATGCTTTCAACTTAGTTACCGAAAACACCCATTTTATGGATTGGAACAATTGGTGGAAAGCCCACAGGCTGGATTTGCCCCCTACGCTAAGAACAATATCAAAGGAAAACCAATCCAATGAAGCATGATCCATAAAATGCAGCTGCTGGATTGGTAACAGATCTGCTGAAGCATAATTGTGCAAGCCGAGGTAGAAAATTAGCTTTTCAGGCTGGGCTTGAATCTGTCCTGTTCTAGTATATAGCTTTTTCCAGTGAGGGGCATTTTTATGACCTTTTTTTATTATAAAAAAAACATTTGTTTCATCTAATTGGCCTTCATTTGGCAATCCAGATGAATTTCCTTCAGGTGAATTGAAACAGGGCTGCAGACATGCAACCACCACCCATAGACAGCCATAATTCCGTTTTAGGTTGGTTTTGTAGCCACTTACTTTGGCACCTCCGTGCTAGCCTAACTCTCTATTCCAGTGATGGCAAACCTTTTAGAGCAGCGGTTCTCAACCTATGGGTTGCGACCCCATTTGGGGTCGATCGACCATTTCACGGGGGTCGCCAAGCAAGGCTGTCCGCCATTTTTTTCCCCTTTTCCGGCGGGTGCCTTACCTCCCTTGGGCTGGGCCAGCTGGTGGTCAGCCTGCTCCGTCTCTGCCGCTTGCCAGCTACGCCTCGGCCGGCGCAGGGGGCGGAACCACGCATGCGCGGCGCTCCCGGGCAGGGAAAGTCCTCAACGTACGACCGGTTGGGTAGTCCTCGACTTACAACCGGTTTAGTCCTCGACTTACGACCGGTTTAGTCCTCGACTTACGACCGGTTTAGTCCTCAACTTATGACCGGTTGGGAGTCGCAACATTAAAAAGGTTGAGAACCACTGTTTTAGAGACTGTGCCCAAACTGCAACCCAAAACCCATTTATGCACCGTTGAGTGCTGGGTGGGTGTAGCCCATTGGGTGGGCGTGGCTGCAGTGGTAACAGCAGACTGGGTGGGACTAAAAAGTTCAATCAATTCCAACTTTGCAAGATCTTTTTTTTCCCGCGAGAAGTTGAAATTGACTGATTGAACCTTCTGGGTTTTTTTGCACACGGCGGCGGAGGCCTAAAGCGAAAAGGTTTTATAAAACCCAGCTGAAGGCCTAGGACTGGGGCGAGGGCACGTGTGCCCACAGAGAGGGCTCTGAGTGCTGCCTCTGGCACCCGTGCCATAGGTTCGCCACCACTGCTCTATTCTGTCCATTGCTGTGCTCTAGAAGTTTGGATCGATGTCTGTGTCCACAGGGTAAAATCTCTTTTCAGCTAAGCTCTGATCTGACCCTTAGGGTGTACCTGTGCAGTTTCCTTGGCTACATTATGGAAGTAGCTGACAATTGACCCTTTTCAGATTTATTTTCAACTTCACAGTTGCAACCCTGGATGTTTTAGAAGTCTCACGTCTCCCCAGGACTAACATCACTTAACGTCTGAATCTTCCTGCTCCCTAATCAAAGTTGACACCTGAGTGAATAAGCAAATCTCCAACATAATTCCCCTCTTCCAAATTCCCCGGGTAGTAAATGTCATTTCAAAACAATAAAAAAAAACTTTTCTCTTATCGGGTAAAACTCTTCATTCCTAAGAAAAGAGAAATATTGCTATCTTGGCTAAGCACGAAACATCTGCAGTTCAATTCTCCTTTCGGTATTTATTATTTTGCTTCTGTTTATTTGTTACTTGTGAATAAAGCGCATCGAAGATGTTGGGAGGATTGTGTGTGATTCGTTTCTAACCCTGTCCTAGATTCCCGGCTAGGTTTTATCTAGGTCCCTTCCTGAATTAAATGTGATGATTAGGTTAAAAATTTTTTAAAGCTTATAGAATTAGTAGTTGATGAGCTGGGAAAGTTATTTGTAGAGAATTTTTTTTTCCTTTTCTCTCTGAAGAACTACTGAATTTTCACAAAAGCATTGAAGCCTGAAAATGTGATGAATATAGATTAGCATTAGATGGCAGAAGTAGAAATATTAAAAGAGAGAGAGAGCGATAATAAAGATGATAGATATATAGATAGAGATAGGTCGATAGTAGATAGATAGATAGATAGATAGATAGATAGATAGATAGATAGATAGATAGATAGATAGATAGATAGAAAAAGAAAGAAAGAAAGAAAGAAATATAGAGATGATAGAGATGAGAAAGGGAATGATATATATATAGAGAGAAAGATGAGAAAGCTAGATAGAGAGATGAGATAGATGATAGATTTGATAAGGGATGTCACCCACCCCAGCTCCAGCAGTGCAAAAAAAGTTGCAATACGTCGCAACACGTCATGTGATGTGGCGAGTTTGAGACCTGTGGATTAGATAGATAGATAGATAGATAGATAGATAGATAGATAGATAGATAGATAGATAGATAGATAGATAGATAGATAGGTGGAGAGAGAGAGAGAGGAGAGAGAGAGAGAGAACAAATAGAGAAAGAAATAGAGAGATATAGAGAGATGAGAAAGCTAGATGAGATGATAGATAAATAAGAGAGAGAATGAGAGAGAAAGATGATAGATAGAGACAGAGAATAAATAGAGATGCTACTTAAAAGAGAGTGGGCGAGAGAAAGAGTGGGAGAGACAGAGATCCTGGCTTGTCATAGATCGTGGATACAATGAAAGGGAAAGCCCCTATGAACTGAGCTGGTTCCTGGTGACATACCTATGTAGCTTTCTTGGGTGATTCAGATATGCTTCTCCCTGGCTTCCTTTTACGATGCTTTCCAAATTTTTGTACAGTTCTTTGCTGGTCTCCCTGCTTGAGGCTCAGGCCGCTTTGACCTAGTGCTGCCACCTGCCGTAAACAAAAAGGGCGAAGGAAGTGAAAGTGGGAGACTTAGGGAGAGCTTAGGAAAATTGGCATTCTGTTCATAGTTTGCTTGTTCCCCCAGGAGCGCGATAAATTTGTGACGAGGATTCCAAGCTTCTCGTTTTTCCCATCGCGTCAGGGCTCCCTTCGTCAAACAAGCAGCGGAATGCGAGGGTACATTTTCTTTGGCCGCGAAAGGGAAAGAAAGGCTAAAACTCCAGATATGCCTGTTTTTATCCAGACTGGAATGCTCGGCTTGCAAAAAATAAAAATAAAAAATAGGATAAATGAAATAATTGAAAATGCCACTGTTACATCTGGACTATAATAATA